ACTGACTTGGAAGAAAGGCCTGGCAATCGACTTCCAAAAAAAACAGCCAATGAAAACCCTATAGATCATAATGGTCCAATCCATAATCGATCATGGGCATAGTGCAGGACTGGGCAATGTTTTGTTCCATTGTGCCTGGGGTCACCATGAATTGGGGGCCAACTCAATGGCAGCTAAAACATTGTTAAGTTGTTGTTATTGCCAGCCATGCACAGGAGCTATACAGTTACCTCCAATCTTCATAGGAGAAGGAAATTTCAAGAAAGAGTAATCACCTATCGACTTTAACATGTTGTTGTTGTTAGCTGCTGTTGAGTCAGTTGACTCATAGCAGTCCTATGCACAACAGAATGAAACACTGCCTGGTCCTGCACCAACCTCACAATCATTGCCATGCTTCAGCCCATTGTTGCAGCCACTGTGTCAATGCATCTCACTGAGGGGCTTCCCTTTTTTTGCTGACCCTCTATTTTACCTAGCATCCTATCCTTCTCTAGAACTGGTCTCTTCTGTCAACATGACCAAAGTATGACAGACGAAGTCTCACCATTTTCACATCTAAGGAGCATCCCAGCTGTACTTGGTCCAAGACAGATGCGTTCACTTTTCTAGCAGTTCATGGTACATTCAGTATTCTTCACCAACACCACAATTCAAATGCATCAATTTTTCTGTGGTCTACCTTATCCATTTTCCAGCTCTCACATGCACATGAGGCTATTGAAAATACCATGGCTTACATGAGATGCACCTTAGTCTTCAATGACATCTTTGCTCTTAAACACTTTAAAGAGGTCTTGTGCAGCAGATTTGTACAGTGCAATACATGGTTTTATCTCCTGACAGCTATTTCCATACGCATTGTACAGACCCAAGTAAAATGAAATCCTTAACAACTTCAATCTTTTCTCCATCTACCTGTTACTTATTGGTCCAGTTGTGAGGATGTTTGTTTGCTTTCTGTTGAGGTAATCCATCCTGAAAGTTGTAGTCTTTGATCTTCATCAGTAAGTGCTTCAAGTTTTCCTCACTGTCAGCAAGCAAGGTTGAGTATCTGCACATCGCAGGTTGTTAATGAGCCTTTCAACAATCCTGATGCCGTGTTCTTCTTCATCTATTCCAGATTCTCAGATTATTGGCTCAGCATAGAGACTGAATAAATATGGTGAAAGGATACAACCCTGATGCACACCTTTCCTGATTTTAAACCACACAATATCCCCTTGTCATGTTTGAACAACTGCCTCTTAGTCTATGTACAGGTTCCTCATGAGCACAATTAAGTGTTCTGGAACTCAAATTCTTCACAATGTTATCCATAATTTGTTATGACCCACACAGTTGAAAGCCTTTGTGTAATCAATAAAACAAAGGTAAACACCTTTCTGGTATTTGCTTTTAGCCAAGATCCATCTGACATCAGCAATGATAGGCCTTGTTTTATATCCTCTTCTGTTTCTAGCTTATTCTGGCAGTTCCCTGTTGATGCATTGCTGCAACCGTTTTTGAATTATCTTCAGCAAAATTTTACTGGTGTGTGATATTAAAGATAATGTTTGATAACTTCTGCATTCTGTTGGACCATCTTTCTTTGGAATGGGCACAAATATTGATCTCTTCCAGTCAGATGGTGAAGTAGCTGTCTTCCAAATTTCTTGGCATAAATGAGCACTGCATCCCTTTGTTGAAATATCTCAGTTGATATTTTGTCAATTCCTGGAGCCTTGTTTTTCACCAATTCCTTTAGTGCAGCTTAAACTTCTTTCAATACAATTGATTCTTAATCATATGCTATCTCCTGAGATGGTTGACGTCAACTAATTCTTTTTCGTACAGTGACTCTGTATATTCCTTCCCTCTTCTTCTGGTGCTTCCTGCACTGTTCAATATTTTGCCCATAGAATCCTTCAATATCACAACTTGAAGCTTGAACTTTTTCTTTAGTTCTTTCCACTTGAGAAATGCTGAGTGTGTTCTTCCTCCTCTGATTTTCCAACTATAGGTCTTTGCACATTTCATTATAATACTTTACTCTGTCTTTTCAAGCTGCTCTTTGAAATCTTCTGTTCAGTTCTTTTATGTCACCATTTCTTCCATTCATTTTAGCTACTCTCCATTCAAGAGCAAGTTTCAGAGTCTCTTCTGGCATTCATGTTGGTCTTTTCTTCCTTTTCTGTCTTTTTAATGACTTTTGCTTTCTTCATATATGGTGCCCTTGATGTCATCCCACAACTTGTCTGGTCCTCACTCACAGTTGTTCAATGCATCAAATCCATTCTTCAGATGGTCTCTAAATTCAGGTGGGATATATTCAAAGGTCATATTCTGGCTCTTGTGGACTTGTTTAAATTTTCTTCAGCTTTACCTTAAGCTTGCCTATGCGTAATTCATGGCTTGTTCCCTGGCCTTGTTCTGACTGATGATATTGAGCTTCTCCATTGTCTCTTTTCACAGAAATAGTTGATTTGATTCCTGCACATTCCATCTGGTGAGGTCCAAGAATACAGTCACCATTTATGTTGTTTACAAAAGGTATTTGCAATGATTAAGTCTTTGGGCATGCAAAATTCTATCATGTGATCGCTGGTGTCATTTCTATCACTAAGGCCATATTTTCCAACTACTGATCCTTCTTTTTTGTTTCCAACTTTCACATTCCAATCACTAGTGATTATTAATACATCTTTTTTTTTTTTTTTAATTGTGATTTGGGTGAAGGTTTACAGAGCAAATTCACTTTCCATACAGTGGTTCACATATACTTTGTCTTATGACATTGACCACAGTTTACCACAATGCAACAGCTCCCCTCCTACCTCCTCCCCATAGTTACCTCTTCCCTGTGTCCATTCCTCCATGCACTCCTGCCCCCTGAGCTGTCTCCCTGTGCATAAGCAGCCTTTCTTTCTCCCATGATTGTTCTCTCCAAGGAGTGTATCTACTTGAGGTAAATGTTCAACTCATATGCCTGTCTTTTGTTTGGCTGGAAACCACAGGTGTAGGTTCAATTCTAGACCTGAAGGGCAGCTAGGGGCCATAGTCTCAGTGGTTCCACCAGTCTCTATCAGACCAGCAAACCTGGTCCCCCCTCACTTTTTTTTTTTTCTCCAAATGATTTTGAGTTTTGTTTCACATTGTTCTCCCTCTCTATCAAGGATCTCCTTATTTGTTGTCTGTACCTCCCATGTACCTCTCTATGTCTTTCTCATCCTCAGTGCTGCCATATTGGTCACTTGCATTGGGTACATTGCCTTTCTCTTCATCCAAATCAATACTTACCTCTATCTATCTAACAGTGTTCCCTCCCCTCCCCTCCCACCCCTGGTAACCTTCTATAAAATTTGAATAACCGTATTGATGGATCTTCCTTGTAGGCATATGGACATTACCCTATCACTGATAGCATTGTACTACAGGATAGCTCTTGAAATGTTCTTTTTGACAATGAATGTAACACCATTCCTCTTCAATATGTCATTCCCAGCATAGTAGATCATATGATTGTCTGATTCATAGTGGCCAGTACTGGTCCATTTCAGCTCACTAATGACTAGCATATCAATCTTTATGTGTTCCATTTCATTTTTGACAACTTCCAATTTTCCTAGACTCATATTCCATACATGCCACATTCTGATTATTAATTTGCATCTCTTTTTTCTTATTTTGGGTCATGCCACACTGGCAAATTAAGGTCCCAAATGCTTTACTCCATCCACATCATTAAGGCTGATTCTACTTTGGGCAGGCAGTTCTTTCCTATTTGTATTTTGAGTGTCTTTTTGACGGGTCATCTTCTGACACTATATCAGACAATGTTTCCTGCTATTCATAAGGTTTTCAGTGGCCATTTTTTTTTTTTTTTTTAGAAATGGACTTGGCCAAGTTCTTCTTCCTAATCTGGCTTAGGCTGAAAGCACCACTGAAACCTGTCTACCATGAGTACATTTGAAATACCAGTGGCATAGTTTCCAGCATCACACCAACACTCAAGCCACCACTATTATCCTTTATGCCCCCACACACATCTGTACATGTACACATACATATCAGTGCATGCACACATGCACACAAGTACATGTGCAACTTGCTTTATTATACTGAAGCAAATCCCAGACAGTGTATTACTTCACATAAGAGGCCCTCTGAAAAGAAATGCCAACCATCATGTGCACCTAAGGCCTGGGAACAAGGGTACATAGGGTCATGAGAGGCTCTTCCACTTTTTAATGGATCTTGGGTTGCATCTAAGGAGCCTTGGTGGTTTACCAGTTAAGTGCTCAGCAGTCAACTGAAAGGTTGGCAGTTAGAACCCACCAGCTGCTGCATGGGAGGAAGATGTAGAAGCAATCTGCTTGTGTAAAGATTTACAGTCTTGCAAACCTTATGGGGCAGTTCTACTCTGTCCTATAGGGTCACTATGAGTTGGAATTGACTTGGCGGCAGTGGGTTTGGTTTGGGGTTGGTTGCATCTGAAAACCAGAGATAACAGTACTTCCCACTGAGAATTCAGAGAATTAGATAAGTTAATACGCAAAATGTCCTGCCCCAGAGCAGCTGCTCAGTAAATGTGAGTCATTCCAATTGTGGTGTCATCAGTGTTATAAAGTCCAGCTCAAGAGACAGGCAGACTGGGTTGAATCCAATTCAGCTACTGACAAGGCAAATGACTTAACTTCTCCAAGCCTGTTTCCCCTCATTTTACCATCCCCTGTCCAATAGAGGACATGACAACACCCGCCTCAAAAGGTTGTAATGAAGATTCAATGAGCTAATATGGGGAATAGAGGACTTAGACCCTGGCTTGGCCCGCAGAGGGGCTCGACTCTGAGTGGAAGGCTTGGAGACCACAGTTCTTCCCAGCCCTCGCTTTAAAGAGGTTTGGTGAAGCTGTCCAAGATCACACAGGGTCAGGTGCAGATCCAGGACAAGAACCAGGGCCCAAAGAGCTTTGGCAGGTGAGGGGACTTTTTTTGTTGAGCAGGTGGTGGATGGCGTACCTGCAAGAGCTCAGAGTCATCAGGACTGTACTGGCTGGGTTCCGTCTCAGAGTTCTCCGGGCACCACTGCAGCTCCCCAAAGCAGGTGGCCGAGTCGAAGTCACTAGCATCCAGCTGGGAGAGGTCAAGCTCTGGAAAGTCTGCACAGAGTTGTTCTTCCCCAGACCCTCCACCCTGAGGAGACAGGAAAGAAGGAAGCAAGCAGGTCAGAGCTGACACTCCTTACTCATGATGCTAACTAAAAGCGTGGATCCTAGTATGCCCGTGGCCAAGGCCTGATTTTACAGTTCAACCAAGAAATATAAAGATCTGCCCTACTCTTCTTCCCTTGGGTCATGCTACAATTGTTAAGCTACAATTGTTAAATTCTAGGAGCTAAGCCAGGTCTGGGTAATACAAATCCTTCTATTACTTTTTTCCTCTTTCTCTGTACTCCTTAACATCCCTCAAAGCCCTGCCCAGATGGTACTTCTTTACTCTTATCAGAACTCTTCTATTGAAAGACTATGAGAAGCTCTATACAGAGAGTTATACCTACATAACTGCCTCCACTTAAAAAGAGGTCTGTTGAAAGTAACAATATTAATAACTAAACAGCAACTAAAATAAAATGGCAATAATAAAAGCAGACATTATGGAGTGATTACTATGGTCTGGAGAAGAATTCCCCCATTTCTCAGGGATTTTACAGAAAGGTTCACTGAAGTGCTATTTGTATTGGCTAAAATGTGGAAGATCACTGATCAGTAAGGCTATGGGCAAATAAAACCACATCTTAATTGAAATCCAGGACAACACAGAATACTATGGCACTGTTCAAAAGAATGAGGCACATCTGTGTGCTCTCTAAGCCAAAACCAAACCCACTGCCATCAAGCTGATGCCTACTCTTAGTGACCTCCACTGGGTTTCTAAGGCTATAAATATTTTATTATTTTTTTTTTTTTACTTTTATTGTGGTGAAAACATACACAACAAGACATTCACCTAACAACTTCAACATAACAACTTCAACTTTTATAGCCCAGGGACATTGACGACATTTTTCACGTTTTGCCACCATTATTGCTATCCTTTTCCAAAATATTCCACTGCAATTAGCATAAACTCAATGCCCCACAAACAAAATCTTCCCCATTCCCCCTCCCTCCTACCCATGGTAACCATTAATAATCTTTGGCAATAATCTTTGGCATTTCCCCCAACCTATCTAGGAATCCCCCCACCTCCCACCCCTGGTAACCAACAAAAAGAGTTCCCTTCCATGTATAACCCTTTCCTTGACTTTTACAATAGTGGACTAATACAATATTTGTCCTTCTGTGATAGACTTATTTCACTCAGCATAGTATCTTCCAAGTTCATCCATGTCATGCTGTGTTTTGCAGATTCTACTTTTTTTTTTTTTTAGTGCTGCATAGTATTCCATTGTGTGTATGTACCATAGTTTGTTTATCCATTCCTCCCTTGATGGGCACTTAGGTTGCTGCCATCTCTTTGGTATTGTAAATAGTACTGTGATGAACATGGGTGTGCATATATCTATTAGTGTACTGGCTCTCACTTCTTTAGGATATGAACCTAGTAATGGGATTGCTGGATCAAATGGTATTTCTAGTTCCAATCTGTTAAGGAATTGCCATACCAATTTGCACAGTGGTTGTATCATTTGACAGTCCTACCAGCAGTGTAGGAGAGTCTCAATCTCTCCACATCCTCACATTTGTTATATTCTGTCTTGTTGAACTTTGCTATTAGTGCTGGGGTAAGCTGGTATCTCATTGTTGTTTTGATTTGCATCTCTCTAATGGTGACTGGGGAGCTCTGGTAGTATAGTGTCTAAGGCACTTGACTGCTAACCAGAAGGCTGGTGGTTCAAACCTACCAGCCACTCCTTGGAAGGAAGGTTGGGCAATCCTTCTTCTGTAGTGATACTGCCTTGGAAACCCAAGGAGGGGTCGCTATGAGTCGGGGCCGACTTGACGGCACATAACAACAAACAACAACAACAATGGCGACTGTACATTTTTAAAGAAGCAGATTGCCATATCTTTCTTCCGTAGCCGGCTGGTAGGTTTGAACCACTGACCTTCTGCTTAGCAGCCAAATGCCTTAACCACTACACCACCAGAGCTCCTTATGTGTTTTCTAAGACATGTTAAATGAGAAACCAACTTGTAGAATATCAGCATGTAGAACATTATCTCACCTGTGTAAAGGAAATGAAACAAAATCAAACTACACATTTCTCTACGTACAGTAATATGGATGCAAACGCACAGGAAAAGATCTGGAAGGTATACAGCCACCTGACAGTGATGATGAAGTGGGGCAGGGAATCACAGTGAATCACAGAAGAATCTGCTAACAATATTATCTGAATCAGTGGTTCTCCAAGTGAGGCCTCAGGTCTCGCAGCATTACTATCAGTATCACCTAGAAACTTGTTAGAAAGGCCCCACTCCAGATCTACTGACTCAAAGGTGACCACCGTCTCACCCTGGACTCCCAGGTTTAACAGTTACCAACAGAAGTGTTGCCCTACAAATCTTCAGAGGTAGTATGTGTTGGGAGGATGACACAGAAAAAGAATACCATAGGGATAAAGAACACTGGAGTCTGGCAGACCTGAATTATAATCTTCACTCACCAACTGTGAGACCTTGGGAAAATCCCTTCACCTCTCTGAGGCTCAAACGTCTTATTTGTAAGTCTTATTTGTAAACCGGGAACAGCAACCACCCCAGCCTTTTATGGTTATTGTGAAGATTAAACGAGACAATGGGATAGCCAGGCTTAATAAGTGCTCAATAAATGTCAGCTGTCAGTAATAGTAACAAACAACAATGAACAACTGTACCTCATGGCAGGCAGATGGGGTGGAAACTACTTTAGAGAACAAAAAAAAAAAAAAGAAAAAAAGGCTTATGTGACACAAGAGAAATAGGTTTTGCCCAGGCCTTTTCCTTAATTGTTCCCACTTACTAGGCCTCATAAATTATGAATAAATGTATATTATTAGCTCAACTTGACACAGGAAAAAGGCTTTTATCCAAATTTGGGTCAAATGTCTTAATTGGCATTTTGTAGGAATCCTGCATGCAGCGGTTCTCTAGATGTGGGTCCCCACTTTCAGGCCAGGCAGCACAGTGCCCTGTATGGTCTGTCCCCAGGGGCAGTCCCACTACCCCTGCCCACAGTTACCTGCTCTCCATCTACCCTGTCTTTCTCGAACCCACCAGAAATACTGAGCACTCTGATGAGGTCCTATGCTGGATGCTGGGCTATAGCCGGCATGACACAGACTAAACCCTTGCCCTCTTGGAGCTAACATGTTGAAAGAGTGACACCACATAAAACAACCATGCAACTAAAATACATGATTGTACATTGCAACTGAGGCATTGGCAATTTAGTGGTAGAATGCTCACCTTCCACGTGGGAGACCTGCATTTGATTCCTGGCCAATGCCCCTCATGCACAGCCCCCATCCATCTGTCAGTGGAGGCTTACGTCTTGCTATGATGCTGAACGGGTTTCAGTGGAGCTGCTAGGCGTAGACTAGGAGGAAAGGCCTGGTGATCAATATTTAAAAATCAGCAATAAAAATCCTGTGGATCACAATCCTCTGAATGGCAACTGATCATGAGGATGGCACAGGACCAGGTGGCATTTCACTCCATTGTGCATCACGTCACCATGAGTCAGGGGTTGATGGCAGCTAAGAACAAAATTGTAACTACCCACAGAGGACAATTCTCTTCTGTGGAGACTACTTCCACAGAAACACTTCTGAACCTGGTTTGAGAGTCTGCAGGAGTGAGGCACATACCAAACCAAACTCACTGCCGTCAAGTGGGTCCGGACTCATAGCAATCCCTCCTTGGGTTTCCAAGGCGGTATCTCTATAGAAGTAGATTGCCCAATCTGCCTTCTGAGGAGTGGCTGGTGGGTTTGAACTGCCAGCCCTCTGGTTAGCAGTTAAATGCCTTAGGCACTACGCCACCAGAGCTCCTGTGAGGGACATGTTGTTGTTGTTGTTGTTATGTGCCATTGAGTCACACCCGACTCATAGCGACCCCTCCTTGGGTTTCCGAGGCAGTATCACTACAGAAGTAGGATTGCCCAACCTTCCTTCCGAGGAGTGGCTGGTGGGTTTGAACCGCCAGCCGTCTGGTTAGCAGGCAAGTGTCTTAGCCACTATGCTACCAGAGCTCCTAGGCAATGCCAAAAGCTCTGGTTCTCCAAGGTAACTCCATCTTCCAACCAAGCCCCTGATTGTTATCTATCTTCCACAGCCCCATGCTGCCCAATACCCCTATTGCTCTTCATCTCCACTCAACTGACACCACCCCAGGGAACACTCAGGTGGAGTCTCTCAGCTGTCACTTGGGAGTTGTTTTCGCCTTCCTGCCCAATCAGACTGTGGGTATACAGCTGTTTTTGCCTGGTTTGTTACTAGTTTTGGTGATTATGAATAAATCTACAATATTCATGTACAAGTCTTTGTGTGGATATAAGTTTTGGTCTCTGGGTGGTACAAATGGGTTGCCTTTCATTAGGTAGCCCTAGTGGTATAGTTAAAGTGCTTGGATGCTAACCAGAAAGTCAATGGTTTGAACCCACCAGCCACTCCATGGGAGTAAATCTTCTGTAAAGATTTATGGCCTTAGAAACTCTATGGGGGCAGTTCTACCCTGCCCTATAGGATCACTATGAGTTGGAATCGACTCAATAGCAGTGGCTTTGGTTTTGGCTAGGTACTAACCTAAAGGCTGGTAGTTAGAATCCACACAGTGGCACCATGGAAGAAAGGCCTGGCAATCTGCTTCTGTAAAGATTACAGCCAGGAAAATCCTGGGATACAGCTCTACTTTGTAACACATGAGGTTGCCATGAGTTGGGGTTGCCTTCATAGCAATGATTTTGAGTTTTTTTGGTTGGGTAAATACCTAGGAGCAGAATTGCTAGGTCATATAGTAAGTGTATATGTAACTTTATACAATTACAAAATTGTCCAAAGTGGATATGCCATTTGATAGTCCTATCAGCTGTGTGAGGGGTTCCAATTGTCCCATGTCCTTACCAACACTTGGCATTGTCAGTCATTTTAATTTTACCCTTTCTAGTGAGCACATTCAAGCATTTATTAAATGCCACTATAAACCATGCAT